TCTGCAGTTATGACATACTCTCAAGTAATTACTTCTCTCTACTATAGATACGTGTAAGAGAGACTCGACACAGTTGCTTTCATAGAGACGACAGTATCACTCATTATGCCCACACCATGCATTCGGCTTGCAGTTACATAGTTATTGAAACGAAGCTTCCACATTTTCCTATTTGAAGCGAGAACTTTATTCCAAGCGTCGCAAAGTCTATAATAAAACTTCCATATCACAACACAAATGTTTCACTATCAAAACCACCTTGGATGCAAAGATCTGTGTTGAGCGCTTATAAGGATCGGAAAGAGGGTGAAAATGGAACGTCAGTGTCATCGTGGTGTGGAATGATATTTATTTGAATATAGCTGTCTACATTATCCATATTCATTTATACATCTTTTCGACCGTAAACAATCCATATTATACTTTATGACAGCATTTATAGGTACCAGTTTTCATATGACATTTATTTGGCCTTTATAATAAACAGCAAAATAACGTATCTACTTGTATAATTGACAAACAACCTTTAGGTACGAGTAATATAAATAAACGTAAAGCTTCATATTGGTTACTCGTTTGTTTATTCAGAAAATAAAAGACAAAAATGAATGCGGGTTAAATAAAGCCAACAGCGCAAACACAATCGTACGTCAAAAAAATATATTTAACTTGACTGAAACAAACGAATCCATAAAGCCAGTCGCACATGACAACTTTCTCGCCAAAAAGTTTAATTTAGCACTTGAGTTATACCCAACAGCGGGTGTTGGGCTTTATTGGCGACTGCAATATGGCCGGAGAAAAATTACAAGTGGGAAAACCTGAGTACCCTTCGAACTGAGGCTGGGGAGGGGTGAGTAACGATCAAAAATCTTGTAGCGTTAACATAAATGCGCTGGGGAAAACTCTGAGAAGGTTTTCTTATATTACCTGTCTCACTTATCTTGAACGTAAAAATAGTAAATACAAGTGCAAAAGCTAAAGCTTTTATAAAAGTATATATATCAATGGAAATTAACTGAAAATGTTTGAATATATAAACACTAGCTGGTCCGGAGAACTTCTTACCATCGTATTTTATTTCTCCTGTCCCAACTGAGGATTTTTCTTATGTACAACCCTTGTATTGACAATAAGGAACACATAAAAAAAGAATCGTTCGGAAGTTATGCGCATACATACATTTCGGTGATAAATTTTATATATACCGATTAGACAACACCATAAATATTGTTCAGCTCTGCTATTCTATTAAAACAGCCTCGAACTCGTAATCAAACGCAGCGCTGTGACAAAATATGGCTTTAATATATTAAAAACTTTATTACCTTTTAATGAAAGTTTCATTGAACCTCTGTGCTACGAGTATGACCCTGCGCTCGACGTTAAGGCTGTTCTTATAACATAATATTGCTGCTTCACTGCTGATCCCAAGCAACTAAGGTGCTTGAGTTACATAAATCTGCAACGACGAATGTACTGAAAAACCAACTCTAAAGGCATATACAAAAAGTTTAGTATTGTAGTAGTATTGAAATCGAACCCGGAGCCTCAGAGATGACGCGACGCTTGAAAACGGCGTACGAGTCACTCAGCTACAGTCTTCCCCAAGGTTTCTTAAAGCAATATTTCATAAAACATAAAAATTGAGTGCCAGAATAGATTTTAAAATAACAAAGACCTGACGATGTAGCATAACCAAATCGACAAAATCGTGAAACGTTCGAGACTCAAGAAGCGGTTGTCGCACTTGCCTGTCCAAAGCCAGTCAGAACGGCCTTCACACTCGACCGGTCTTCTACAAGCTTATCAACTCCGGTCCGGCAACTGGCCGGTCAACATCCGTCGTAACCGGACGTCATTTTAACGCCGGAAAATCACCAATCTCCTCTCCCCTACCTGGGACTTTTTTAATTTCATGCTGATATATCTGCGTCATACCTGATATACATACCTATATATGGATAATTGATAAGATCGATAAACCTAAAAAAGTAACTTTAAATTTAATGTAGATATTTGTGTATAATTATAGATCCTTATAAAAACAGAATAGAATTTAACAGTCTTATATGTGAAGCAAAACATCTTTCCTTATCTCTCTTTCTCATTTTTCTTCTCTTTCATTCGCTCTTTCATCTCTGTCAGGAAATTTTCGTCGGTCACAGGATAATGGTTAAAACGATTTAAGGTGTTCATCCACTACCTCAGCACGCACGCACCAGCCGCATGACACGCAACGCATTGCACGGATTGTCGATGTCATACATCCATTTAAAATAGATGCTTCTATGAAAAATGAAACTGTCAGTTTTGACATCAAAATTATGCTGATGACGTTTTAGGAATTTTTAATATAATCCGTTGGCGTGTCGTGCAGCCGGAGAATGCGTGATGGCATATCGACTTTTATTTTAATTGGCACTGATTAAATATAAAAAAATCATATTACAAACCAAAACACTTCAAATATTGCTCGATGTTAACTATGAATTTCTCTTATCTCCAAAATTTATACCAGAATAATGACGTTACTTATCACGCGGACCCAGTGCGGTTTAGTGAGTGTTAACGAATGCAGATGCAGCTGTGACCAACGACTTAACGTTTCTTCTGAAGCACGGAGAAATTCTAGATAATAAACTTTTGGTCACCCATCTTATGCCTGGCACGTGCGTAAGTCGATTAACCTGTCCATCACAGAACGTACGCGCTATCCAAAGCGGTATCAAGATTTTCAAAAAATAAATATATGAAATATATTACTCATAATAAATAGACATAGACATATGGCAGTTCCTCACCTATTTGTTCAATGTTGGCTAAATTTAATTACATATTTAAGAGTACTGATGTAGACATTTTTTGTGGGGGTCTAGCTAATTTCAAAAAGACTATTTTGCAAGGTTGTAAGGAGTATTTTTAGTTTTTAATTCCTATTTTTCTCATTGTTTTCTTGAAATTGTATTATAGGTAAAAGAATGTTGTGCATACCTATAATTTAAGTACATATATGATATAAATTATTGATATGGAGTGAATAGTATGTCTATTATGTATTTAGTTGGTAAGCCTTTTTTTAAAATAAAATAAAATAAAAAAATAAATAAAATAGATTTTTAACTATCATTGGTTGTATTGCATAAGTTTCAAATATATATGTATTAACACTGTCTGTACATAGGAACCTTATAATATAAAACTACGTGGGATATTTCAACGTAAAAAATATTACCATTATACCTATTACGACGAATCCAATTTGATTGTATGTTATGGCTCCCTAACCCGACACTTATTTGAAGAAAATGCGAAGGTGTCGTGAGCTAAGGACAAATTTTATTGCCCTAATAAATATCTCGCGACGATAAATCAGAAAATATTGCATACTGCTACTGTGTAAGGGGCCTAAAGGAAAATATCCCATTATTTGAGCTAGCTTACACAACTATTTATTTGTTTAAAATAGAACTTTTTGTTGTGAGTCATAATTTTCATTTTAATTAAAGACTTATATACCTACATTCATGTAATTAACGAAATTGCACAAGGTCGTGGGTTCGAGTCCCATCTCAGTGTCAGGGACAAAATGGATTTTTTAAGCATTTTTCATTAAGAACATGAAAAAAGTTAAGATTATTCTATTTTACTTGTTTTATCTAAAGACTTCTATGGTTCTTTAGCAAACGTTACGATTCTTAAGGTACTAATTTAGAATTTGTTTATATACCTAATTGAACATTTTTTAGTGTTTTTGCTAGATTGCTGCAAAGACAATTTGTTGCCGCATCCTACCTATAGTTTTTATACTTTTTGAAATTACCTTTTATTTATTTATTACATTAATTAATAAATGAAATACTCAAATTTTACTGTGTGCGTTTGCATATTCACACGCACCTTGATAGGTATGGCAATATACAAAAATAGAAGGAAGTGGGTCAGACATTTTCTAAAATTCTTCATTCTTATACTGCAATGTGCAGCAATGACCTTCACGACAAAGTGGTTTACCCACCAGTTGTAAGGTGTCAATCACCTCTCAGGCTCCGAGTTCGATTCCCAGTTAGGTTGCTGCAGAAAACGAAGTTTTATATGAGCCTTCGTGGTACCAAAGGTAACACAACATGAGTTAGGCGGTCGCCTGGGGCGCGACCGCCTAACTCATGGACGCAGCCGTAGTCGTAGCTATAACCAACGCTTTATCGATATTCCAAACGAATCAGTTTATATTCTTTTAAAATTAATTGTTTTTTTTTTTAATTTATATATTTTGTCAAACATTTTGGTTTGTTTTTCTTTTCAAAATAGCATTGTTTGTATCAATTCAACATATTGTAAATTTCGTTTAACTTTAACAATTAAGCAAACAAAAACAACTAAAAGCATTGATTAAATATGTAAATAATAAAAAATGATTAATTTTAAAACAATATCAACAGATTCATGTGTAAAGCCTATAAAGCGTAGGTTATAGCTACGACTACGGCTACGTCCATGAGTTAGGCGGTCGCACCTCTGATACTATATAGAATAGTTTATTACTATTGACTGCGAAAACAATAACAACGACGACGACAATAATTAACTGGCAACATATCAAGGTGCGTGTGAACCACAAGTATAATTAAAAAATTTAATAGTTATTTAAACCAACAAAAATTAAGAACATTCGCTAGAGCTTAAAGTCGTCACTTAACCTTAATGAATGATTGTGCAACCGCGTGTTTGTCCCATATTATAAAGCAATTTCATCCAGGTAACTATTATTTTTATTATACCCATTGGATTTGATAATTTTTGTTTATAGCACAAATGTAATGTAATCCTGATTTGGAGTAAGATTACAAAATAAGCGCCATCTATGAGGATTTCAAAAACTCCAATCTACACAAAAGCATGATAGCACCCATTCATATCACCTTAGTTTTTTTATATTTTCATAGATGTCGCTTTACCGTAGTTGCTATTAGGGGCAGGATGAGTAAAAACAATAATTTTAAATCTCTCTTATAATTATTTTATAACTATGACTAAGATCATACTTTAACCTCAAACTTCATCAATAAGTTTGAAGCGATTGTGTTGTGGTTCAGGAATAATATTGAAATATTTTTTCAGAATAGTTTGTTGTTGGCGGCCTCCATATATGCGCTGTACCCAGGTATGTTCCCAGTTAGGCTCGAACTTCTCACAAGTAACGACTACTCTGCCAGCCTCCATAGCAAACAGTGTACCGTTGCGACCAAAACCAACCTGAAATGTTTAAAACGTTTTTTTAATTAATCATATGATTCTCTTTTGAGCAAAGACTAACAGTTACGCTGCTTCCACATTCACTATCCAATAATAAAACAACTTTTAAATGGTTTAATCCTTATGTATTTAGTTTTATTAATGTTTTTGACCCTTTACAGATTCTGTGTTCACATAAGACTAATTTGTTGATTGTCTTTTTTAAAACAAAGCTATTGGACACATTCACTATACAAAATATTCTATATTTTAAGGAAACATTTACATTTATTATTTTAAAGAATTTAAAAAATACATTTGATTTATTAATTAACCTATGGCTACCGTAATCTACCGCCAGTTCCAATATGTGGGAGCTTGTCTTAGAACTGGCGAAAAATAATGTCAAATGTAGATACCCTTATCACGCAAGAGTTAGTTCTATATTACATACATATTTATATACTTACGTTTAATCCAGGATGGAATCTTGGTTTTAATTGTGTTGCAAGCATATGACCAGCCTGAACAAAATGACCATCTTGAACTTTCCAACCCCTGTGCTTGGGCTTTACTTTACAGTTTGTATTCTTTGTACTACCACCGGTCTTTTTGCTAGCATTTCGAATAAATTCTGCAAATAAATAAGTATGTAAACTGAAACAATTTAAAAACTTGTACTTTACATATTAATCTCCACTCGCACAATTCTAACCTTTGAAAACGGAGTTGATTTTAAAGGTATACGAAGAAAATGCAGATGTCATTATTGCAATTGCAAATATACTTAAAAATTGTAAGTTGATTTTATGTTATCTTTTATTTCATGTTTTTTGATGATTTATTAGAAAGATCGCTGAAAATAAACTCACGACACTGATATTGACACTGACAGCCAACCACAGACTTAGTAGGTATACAGCCAACCAGCGTTGCCAACTCTACATGTCAAAAAGTCGTTAGCGTACGTTTGAGAAGTCGCTAGATGTCGCTAGCTATGGACAAAGATTAAAAGTCGCTAGAAGTCGCTAAAAGACTGAGCGCGTGCCGATAAAACAGCGAAATACAGTTAGTCACGTACTTCTAATTCGGTATCGTTTTACGCACGGCAGAAGAGGGCACAGTTTTTTGGTCCTTTGGTATAAAAGAAAATAATTTGTTTTACTTATAATAATATTTGTAATCGGTATAAAAACAATTGAAAATTACGAAAAAACAATTACTTGACAAATAAAAAATCAACAACTCAATACTATAATCAAATATAACAAAAAAAAAATATTTATCAGAATTTAAAAGTCATAAACTTAATACCAAAAAAGATGAAAAAGTTTCTTTATTCATTATCAGAACTATCGGTAATAATCAGATAATCTGGAATACTTAATGTATCCGTTCTGGAATTGGAATTAATACCCGAAGTTGATGGCTGAAGCTGCGATGTACGTTTGGCAAACGAATATGATTTATTGGTCCCAATGTTCTTTAGCACATCAATTGATATTTCGTAATTATAGCAGCTTTTATTCATTCTTCTTAAAGAGTATTTAATCATCAAAATAGAGTTTAATGACTTCAAACACATTCTGTTTCGAAGCTTGGATTTTGTAATGTTCATGGCACTAAATATCCTTTCAATTTCAGCATTCGAATGAGGTAACGATATTACAGTTAATGCCAAATCACATAATTCTTGGAATGGTTTATTGTCGGCAGCATCTTTATATTGATTTACTTCAGCCCAAAAATCTAGCGTACTATTAATGTTTTGCCACTTAACAAAGTTTATATTGTTCCACTGTATATCATTTTTTTCGAATTTTTTAACGTCATCAACCCCTAACTCTTTTGCCAAACTTATAATGTCATCATTTTGATTCTTCGTTCTCAAAACTTCGCTGACGGATAATTTATTCATTTTGACCAATATTTCTATATTTGGAGGAAGCCTACTTTGCAATTCTCTTATCAACTTGACTGTAAAGTCAACGCACCTTTGTTTAACTATATTAGTGATATCTTCATTTAAATTAAGTTTTCGAGCACTATTTTCAAAAGCATAACCAAGCGTAGCACAGGGATTTAGGTGAATATCTTGAACTGTCGTAGTTAGTACATTTATATTTGTGTGAGGGTAAATGACTCTGTTACAAATTGATCGTAATAAAAATGTCAGTGTCCCCATCAATTTTGTGGGATCAGCATTTTCACTTTCAAATACTTTCAAAGCTGTTTGAACTTCTCCTAATATGCTTTGAATATATGTCATATATAGCAAATTACTACCATCTTCAAACATAGCATGCAGAAGTTCTGCTGTGTAACAATTTTCCTTAACCTTGCATAGCGAAAAATGTAACTTCAATTCATCCCATTGTTGTAAAATCCGACTAACTGCTGGAAATATTGATAACCATCGCGTAGTACACATTTTAAGAATTTTCAATGGCTGTGATCCACAATTGATGGTCTCATATATTTGTCGGTATTCATCTTGTCGTTTGGGAGATAAAGAAAACCAGTTATACGTCTCCCTTACTATGTACTCAATATTACGTGGCAAGGTTTTTTCAGACGCATGATTTACCGCTAGTTGCAACGAATGGCATACACATCGTACAAGTACTAGATTAGGCAATCCATGTATGTTTTTAAAATTTGATGCAAACCATTATTCACACCAGTCATCACCGAAGCATTGTCAGTACCTTTTTTTTTTTTTTTTTTTTTTTTTTTTTTTTTTTTTTTTTTTTTTTTTTTTTTTTTTTTTTTGACGCTGAGAAATGCATTACTGCATACCCGCTTCACCCAGCGCAGGCTCCACGGGTTATGTGGGGCTCCCCCCTGCGGACCCACCCCAGAGTGGGGCTAGTCAAATAGCAGGGGTATACCCACTAAAACTCAGCGATGTCCCTCGCATGGAAGGCGATGCACGGGATCAGCCCGGAGGCCATACACCGCGCGGTTCGCCCCCATTTCGGCCCGCCCTGAAAAGGGCAGGTCCCTCGCGGGTTGGGCGGCACATCTCAGAGACACTCGAGACGTACCCCCCCAGACAGGGCGGAGACGTGCAATGCCAGCCAGTGCGCAAACCAGCCAGCTGCCCCCGACTAGGGACTAGAGATGCGCGACTGTGCAATCTCTAGTCTCTTTCCCATCTATTGGAAGGACCCACACAGGCAGAGCCCTTATCGTGGATCCCTCCCCCCGTACGGTCGCAGCTACCACCGGAGTACGGCCCGACCACAGCCCTGAAAAGGGCGCTATCAGGCCTCATCAACCGGCTCCGCCGCTCCTCTCTGCGCGGCCCCGGAATGATACCGTCCGGACCGGCCGCCACACACACCAAAGCGGTGTGCATGGCGGCCGAACCGGGCGCCCAGACCGGGGCCACTGAGGAAATCCCCTCACCTGCGAAACGCAGGTCGACTCCCCATGTACCTCTCACTAGCAGCGACACAGGCGCACCCGGCAGACGTAACCCTGCCAGGGAACCAGTCGACTGCTAGCCGCTCCAGCCGTCCCCCCCCCGAGAGAGTTGGGCACGCTAATGCGTGTCCATCACCTCAGGAAGGTCCTCAGCCGGTACCGCACGAGTACCACGGGGCACGGGAACCGACCGTGCCCGTACGGAAGGTGGAGAGCACCTCTTGCTCCCCATCACGTGTCCGCTCGGGAGACCTGCAGCCGCGCAAACAGCGCAGCGAGTCTCGTTGCGGCAACACGCCGCCTTGTGCCCCTCGAGGCCGCACCTGAAGCAAGCTCCAGAGCGATCCTCTTTGGAGGGGCACACCCTCCGCACGTGGCCCGTGCCCATGCACTTAAAACAGCGCAAGGGCAACGGGTCCAGGCGTTGAATCCTCGCCGAAGTCCAGCCGACCAAAAGTCTTCCCTCCTTCGCCAAAGCGTTGGCCGCGGCTACAGGGCATTTGAGGAGGGCCATGTTAAGGCCTCCCAGGCCCTCACTGATAGGTCCCACCGCAACCTGGTCCGGGGAACAGCCGCCTCTTTCAGCTACCGCCCTCTTCAGTTCCTCGCATCCAACCGAGTCGTCCAGCTCAGTCACCCTCAGGCCCATCTTCTTTTCGGGTCTCGAAACCTCAACTGAGTCCCCCAGCACCTCCTTAAGTTTTGTCGCAAGCAAATCTGCTTGTGGTCCGCTGTCCGTCCCTGGCACCTTCAAAATCCGGGCGCCGGTGACTGCCATCCCCATATGCACTCCTCCCTGGATGCCCAATTCAGGGAGCACAATCTTGCTTCTCGCTTTGGCGAGGATCTCCTCATATGTCACCCCTTTGGCCTCCGCCTCAGGGGAGATTGACAACACCACAGCTGTGGTGTTCGGAACCCTGGTTTTGTGCCTTCCACGTTTCTTGTGGTAGGGAGGTGGCTTCTGCACAACAGGTGCAGCTGCAGAGGTAGGAGCAGTAGTAGCGAGGCGCACCCTGTTGCTATTCTTTTTTCTCCCCCCTGCCACTTGTGCCCACGTCATCTGTTCGTCAGGGCGGACCCCCGCACTCCCTACAGCAATTGTCTTTGCGGGAGACTTCTTCCTTTTCTGTCCTCTTTGTATCGGCCTTGCTGAAGTGTCAGAGGCAGCCTTTGGTCTTACGTCCGAAGCTAGTGGGGGACGCAAAGGTGGGCGTAGGGGATTATTCCATGCGTCCTCTGTCTGACACCCAGTCTCTCTACTTTTGGTTGTCGGCTCTGTTTGACAGCCCATCTCTGTAGCCGGCTTCTTAGTCCTCAGTTCAGACAGTTCTTTATTTAAAGAACATATGATGTCATCTAACTCGTCTCTTTCCTCAAGGCTCCCTAGGATAACGGCGATACCCTGCTCCAACGCACTATACAGCACGTCCCATCCATCACGTAGGCCCTTTTTGAGCGGATGCTCTCCACGCTCTCTGCACATCGTATCTCGCAGTGAGTTCAACACCTTTCTAGCTTCAGTAATGAGCCCGATAATGCCCTCTTTACTGAAGCTTAGTTCTCCGTTTTCGTCGAAATTACCGTGGCGTCGCACAGCTTCGCTATGCCTCTTGGGCCTCTTTGAATCCTCAGACATAGTGACCGAGTCACTGCTATTACTGCTCTGACTTTCCGCCGATGATCTGTCAGATCTGCTCCGACTACGCTCTCTTGTGTCCGTTTCACATTCCTCATTCTTCTTCTCTTTACGGGCAGTAAAACGCCCCTTCTCGTCCCTATTCACCTCTCGCCCGCTTCCGCCCGGGCTGGGCCTCCTCACATCTTTGGGTTTAGTTTTTGTTTTTATAAAATTCTCCATAGCTAGTCCCACGAGTCTCAAAGCAACCAAACGTCCACTCGCACAGAGGCCTGATGTGCGAGCAAGCCTAGGTTTGTGAAGGCGGGGGTCGGCCGGTCCCCGCCTCCAGAGGACCTGTAGCGACTCCATTACCAGGAGCCACTCACCCCCTAACCCAGGTCTAGCGTGGGGTTGGTCGTTTTTTATAGTGGTATCGTCCACGCGAAGCCGTCCAGCGAAGGAAAGCCTCCCCGTCTCCGCTCAGCGCAGAGGACGGGTCGGCCGGTGGTTATCCTGAGAAGGACACCCATCGCTTGTGCCACCACAACACGACAGGCCCACCGTCCTCGTTGGCACGGCCGCTGCCCGAGATACTCAGGACGCCCGTCCAACCCGAACCGCGCCGCCGCTACCCGTCTTACCGACAGGACGCCGGCCCGGAGCCCTCACTACACAAGACTCCCTCCAAGGAGGGAAACTCCCCCAAAACGCGACCAAAATGGTCTTACCGCCCCCCTAGTCATACCTCACGACGGCCCTAATAAGGGCCAACCTTCCTCAAACGTACCAACTCTCTGCTAAACAGAGAGCGTCGTCCGAGTCCACCTCCCTTGCCCGACTGCCGGTACTCGG